TTGCTAATGCAACTGTCTTCCTCGACTGTGGGCTGAATTGATTAACAAGACAATAACCTTGATCTTCTTGACTTGCATATCAGTCACTACTGTCAGTAAGTAAAATCTGTATACAGTATTATGTTTCCTCTGTGCCCCTTGCCTTTTGGGAATTGTGCATTTGAACAGGCTCTCAACTGGCTGCAGCACTTGGCAAATCTTGTCTGGCCTCAAAAGCTAAGCAGTGTCAAGTCTGACTCGTCTCTGGATAGGATACTTCTAGGAGGTGCCAGGGCTAAAGGCCAGACTGGGAAGTTGAAAATATATTCTGGAAGAAGGCAATGACATATCACTTCTGTGTTGCAGCTGAGAAAACTACATGGATATATCCATGAAGTCATGAAGAGTTGACCTCGACTTGAAGATTTTACCATCTGAACAGGCATCCACCTAGTCTTTTTGGTCTTGTTCATTATTATTATTGTACAGCTGCATATTCCTTAACAGGTTAATCATAATTAATATAGGAGAAAAATGTTGCAGTTATCCTTCTTCCCAAGATAATATATATACCTTGTTCAAGGGGTGCTTTGCCACTGAGGAACTGCCAGTAGGTCTTTTCATTGGTGCTGGCTTGGAGGGCATTGATAGAGGTGACCATGGGGCTGCAATGTGTCAGCCCTGTTTGAAACCTGCAAGATGCCAAATTCATTACAAAAGCAGCAAAAAAGGAGGACGGATTAAGAAAATAGTGAATTATATTATAGTAACTTAAGGGAAATATCACACCAAAGAAAAAGGGAAAAAGAAAAGATCAAGAAGGTTGTAGGTGAAAATAATTCATAAACACCAAATATTCAACTTTATCCAGTCTCCGACCCCAAAGCCGGGAAGTAGAGTTTAAGATACATTGGTAAAATTTTGAAGTTGCACTTTGTCTTGAATTGGTAATTTAGAAAGATCTGGTAGTTCACATCCTGGGTTGAATGACCTCCCCAAAATCTCAGAGTCAGCATCTATAATGATTCTACCAGGAGTCTGTTTACCTGAATTCACTTGGATTAGCTTGTTGAGCTGCTTCCAAGACAGCGAGCAGCACAGAACCCTTTGGCACTTTCACAGTTATGGAAAAGTTGAAATGAGGTTCTTTTATCACATTGATTACGTTATAATGCACTGTTACTGCAAAGGAAGAGAGGGGAAGGCAGGTGAAATTACTCATTACACTCTTGATGTCTACTGGCAGTCCTGGACCTGCACAGCTGAGATGGGGAGAGCCAGTGATGTGAGCTGAGACTTGGCAGCAAAAATTGGTATGCATTTAAAGATTTTCTAACTGTATGTTACTATAGGTAGGAGTTGCAGTTGTTTTTCATCATTATGGAGGAACCATTAAGTAGAAGCTGCAGATCCAGAACACTGAGTTAAATGGATCATTCCAGG